TGAAGGCTTATTGAATGCGAGGTTATCTACTCGGATAGTGGTGAAACGCAGCGCACAGCGAGGCCGAGACAGTTACTAATGGTTTCTTTTTTTGCATTTTTAAGGATGGTGGCAATTTCAGCTCTAGCAAAGTCTGTCGGGATGTGTCCCAAGCCTTTGAGGGCTACGTCGACCTGGGAGATTATATCATCCACTGGGATATGTTTAGGGGTGACTGCGAAATTCAACCCCTTAGCTAGTTCCGATTTTGGGCTGTCAGAGATTGGGATGTTACTCTGATTGATGCCAATCTTATTAAGATCTAACTTTTTAACGTGTGAATCAGGCTTCTTTTTTGACAGCAGGTTGAATTTAGCGATCATGTTAGCTTCACATTTGGTTGACATTGAATTAGCAGAGGAGACTGTCTTGTTATCTACATGGTCCCAATCAGAAGTGGATATTTTATCTGTTAATATTAGGTGTGATTGTAAGAGAGTCTTGTCTAAACTATCAAGTTCAAATCAGAGCAATCTTATTCTCTCTGATATTAGTGATAGGCTGGCTTTAAACAAGATCCGTTTAGCGTTAGGAGAAGTGACAGCAGCAGATGTGAGTGTAAATGCGATAGGTATTACATTGTTATCGCGGCATCTCTTGAGGAAGGTTAGCGACTCGATTAGCTGCGCCTTGTTGTCCCATTGTCTGTTAAAAGCTCTAACCGATATGTGGAAACCCTCCCCGTAGAGGTGGTTCAATCTAGATTTGAAGTTTTCGTGACTGCAGGGATCCATACTCTTTGGTTCTTTCGGTAAAGTCACATAGGTATAAAAATGAAAACAATTAAATCAAGACGTTTCGATTGCAACACAAGCAATCATCATCAACGGGGAAAACCACAGCAATAATTTTTAGTACCACATGGACTGAACCCTGATGTCCCTACACTGGTTAGGCACTGCCTTACCAACACTTACTTCACCTGCAATGGTACTTTCTGCAAACAAAATGAAGGTACCCCCATGGGTTCCCCCTTATCACCAGTGATAGCGAATGTTTTCATGGCGAAATTTGAAACAGATACCATCCAGACATCCACCCTACGTCCTTCCTTGTGGAAGAGATATGTGGATGACATTTTCGTCATTTGGCCACATGGTCTACCCGCATTGAACCAATTTCTCAACCACATTAATTCCATACACCCCTCTATCAAATTCACCATGGAAGTGGAAAAGGATGGTAAGCTACGATTCCTTGATGTTTTATTTGAGAAGAAGCCTGATGGCTCTTTGGGATACTGTCTACAGGAAAGCCACCCACACAGATTCCTATCTGAAACCTGATTCCCACCACCATCCGGCACAAAAGAATTCCCTCATCAAAACACTATACCATAGGGCCCACTGAATTTCTGACAAACACCACCTAGCCAGTGAACTGGAATACGTACACCAGGCCCTCAAGATGAATGGAAATTCGGACGGCATTATCCGCAAAGCAATTTCTCCAACCATGGAGAAACAACCCCCTGAGACGCCGATCAAAACTATTATGTTACCATACATAGCAGGCGTTACCAAAAGATTGCCAAAATCTTAAACAAACACAAGATCCAGGTCAGATTCAATACAGTACACAAAATCCGTGATCTAATCCCATCTGTGAGGGATGTCATTCCTGACATGCAATATCCGGGAGTCTACAAACTAAGTTGCACTTGTGGTGATTGTTATATTGGGGAAACGAAACGTCATATCTCGGACCGTGTTCGCGAGCACAAGGCAGATCTTAAAAACGGTAGAACTAATACCTCTGCCGTGGCTGACCATTGCTATAACGCTGTGGGCTCTCATGATATTGTTTTTTTTCCGAGAACAAGATGCTCTCCAAACCTTTTGGCTACAATCAAAGGTTTATTCATGAAGCCATCCAGATATATAAACATAGACATAACTTCAACCGAGAAGATGGATACAAAGTAAGCAATCATTGGAAGGATGTTATTAACCAGGTCAAATCTGAAATACTTCATCGTTGTTCCACCATATTTACCGAACACTAGTCTATTTTGCCAGGTTATCTACATCCCTAGAGTTTGGCATTGCTGCTGCATGGGGGTTGTTGCCTTTATTGGTACTGTTGTTGCTTTGTTGTAGCGTCCTACCCCCCCCCTCCCCCCCGTTCATCACGAGCACTTTCAGCACCCCACTCCCAGCCCCGCCCACTGCCCACCCCCCCCCGTCCTAGCTTCACGTCTCCCTCTCCTAGCGTGCACGCAACGCTTCCCTCCCCCTACCCCCCTCCCTTGCTCCTCCCCCCTCTCTTACCTATGTAACCTCTCACCACGGCATCTCTCTCCCACTTCAGCAAAACAATTCTTGCTGTGGTGTTCCCACCTGATGATGATTGCTTGTGTTGCGATCGAAACGTCGTGATTTCATTTATATTATTTTTATACCTACGTGACTTTACCGAAAGAACCAAAGAGTATGGATCCCTGCAGTCACGAAAACTTCAAATCTAAGTCCAACACTCCCGGCTCCTGATGGGGTCCAACACTCCCGGCTCCTGATGGGGTCCCACACTCCCGCCTCCTGATGGAGTCCAACACTCCCGGCTCCTGGTGGAGTCCAACACTCCCAGCTGATGACGGAGTCACTGCACGACCCAGCAAGAGACCCGTGGTGTGCCCTGCGTGGACGGGGGAGAGCATTGGGGTGGGGGCGGGACCTCAACCTGTCCGCACGACTGCTCACTTTGCTGTTCACGAGAAATTCGGCCGCGCTCCGCAACCCTCCTAATGTGTCACGGAGCTGCTCTCGTGACGCCTCGCCCCCCACCCCACCCCCCACCCCCGCGCGCATCTTCTTGTCCCCCACGATGTGCCCCCCCTCCCCATTCACCCCTCTCCCTCTCTGTACCATCGCACCCCCCTCCCCCCCTCATCACTTATTCATGGCGACTCATCATCGCCGGCGCTGCGGTGACGGGCGGACAAAGGCCCTGGCGTGGGGGTTAAGCGCGGGGGTCATGTAGCACCCCGCCCGGAGCGCGCTTGCCGCCGAGGTGAGCCGAGGGGTGACAGGGGTCTTGGCGGGGTTCCCTCGCGAGGCCAGCGGTGAGTCGTGGCGTCGGGGCCGGCGAGACGGCAGTGATGCTCGCAATGTCTTGGTGGGGTCGGGTCGCTTGGTGAGTCGCGCCGAAATCTGGTGGCGCTTCACAGTTATTCGTCGTGGTGAGCGGTGGTGAGGAGTAATGAGAGGGTTTGTGAGACGCGGTCGAGTCTTGGACCGGCGTTTGCAGCATCGCACAGATGGGGCATCATCAAAGGGGGGAATTTGCCTCGGGCCTCAATGCAGAAGAGGAGCCCACGGCGGACCAGTTGCGTCTCCTAATGAATGAGGGGACTCCACGTGGCATTCTGCCCCGGGCCACCAAGAGCCTCCGGGCGGCCCCGGGCGTTGTAAGGCCCGGTGAGGTGGCGGCGGAGCACGCAACGCGTTCCCATGCAAGGCGCAGGAGCCAGAGGCTCGAGACAGAATCATCGGAACCCTTTCCATCAGAAGCATCGGCAATGCGGTTTCGCGTCACGCCACCCTGACACCCACTAGGGATTCGTTTCGAACGCTGATGGCGATAATTAATCAGGATAATTACTGCGCAATGAACACCGGGTGACAATCGGGATCGTTTCTCGGACACGGCTAAGGTAGGTGGCGAGTGATATATGAACCTGTCCTGGGCTCACCTTTCACCAACCCGCACTGACCAGCGTGGTGAAGTATGGACAATTAACCCCCATAACCGACAAGGCATGATGAGGCTTTCAGTGTCGGATTAATGTAGATGTGTACATTGATATCAATGTAGATGTGTACATTGATATCAATATAGATGTGTACATTGATATCAATGTAGATGTCTACATTGATATCAATGTAGATGTGTACATTGATATCAATGTAGATGTGTACATTGATATCAATGTAGATGTGTACATTGATATAAATGTAGATGTGTACATTGATATCAATGTAGATGTGTACATTGATATCAATGTAGATGTGTACATTGATATCAATGTAGATGTCTACATTGATATCAATGTAGATGTGTACACTGATATCAATGTAGATGTGTACATTGATATCAATGAGCACGGCAGGGTGACGGCGCAGTTGTAATAATCGCACATCACAGCATGAATGTATCAGCTCAAGTCCCAACTCGGGCGTACAATTTGTATGCGCTCCCCTTGTCTCCATGGGTTCTCCGGTTTCGCGGCATAGATGACCAACACAAATGTAGCCGGTGTGGGCCGAACTTCCTGTACAATTAGCGAACAATCACTCAATTGGGATGAAACTCAGCAGCAGCAGCAGCAGCAACATCGCCCTCTACCGCGAAAACCTGGCAGGATCCTCGTGAAAGAAGAGGCTTGAGACTCGGTGAGGCTTCGCTCGCGAACGAGCGGAAACGAGAACGAAAATAAAACTCGTCCACTCGGGCGCGCCTTCCGATGGACGGGCATGAGTGGTGAGGCAGCAACGTGCAGGAGAGGGGCAGTCGAGACATTGAGAACGAAATATGAAACATTGACACCAAACGGGGCGAGTTTGCGCCTCACATATAAAATATCGACTCGACACGAGCAAAGCATTGGGCGACTGTGCGAGCGCGTTGCGACCCGGACGATCACATCAACGCGCGTGTGTGTCACCCTTTGCGCTGTGAAGTCCCAGGCTCCTCGCAAGCGCGTGGCTATGGATTCAGCACCCCCCCCCCCTCCTCCCCACGGGGCGCGCGCTCCTTCTCGGGACCCAGCGCGAAGATCAAGCGGCACAATGCCCCACACCACGCACTCACACTGGAAACACTAAATAACTAAATATATGGGCCGACGTCATGGCTGGGGGGAGCCAATGGAGGGCGCCGGGTGATGGATGACGGCTGCCCGCGCCTCAAAACCGCGGCCCCGCTCTGCGCTCGCCTGGGACTCTTCCTCGCCACCACTCCTCCCGACCACTCTTCTCGGCCTCTCGGCCCTATGACCCCCCTACTCCAGGGCCTTCGGGAGCGCGCTGTGGCAGCCACGGGCCCGTGACCCCCACCTCCTCTTCCTCCTCCCAGTGGGAGGGTGCGATGCCTTGCCGTGAGCTCCGCGTGGAGCCAACCTCTTAGGAGCTGCCCGAGGGAGGCTCTCGACTCTCGGGAAGCTGCGGGGCGGAGGTGCCCCTCTCGCTGGGCTCTCCGCTCCCCGCTCTCGGCTCGCCGCTCGCTCCCGAGGATTCGCGCCGCGCGATGTCCTCGAAGATGGCCTCGCAGGGCAGCGCTCTGACGCCCTTCTCCATCCAGGACATCCTCACTCGCAAGGACGACGCGCGCGGGCCCGGACCCAGCGACAGGGTGCACGCCATGCTGGCGGGCAGGGCGTTCATGCAGCACCTGCAGGACGGTGGCGGCGCCGGGGCAGGCGGGATCGGGCTGGCGCCTCCCGCGGGGCGCTGCCTCGCCCAGCAGCAGCAGCAGCGGCGGGGGCAGCAGCAGCAGCTGCCGCCGCCGCTGCTGCTGCTGCCCCCGGCGAGGGGCGCGCGCCGCTCCCCGCTCGGGCTCCCCGCAATCGCCGCGCCGCTGCGCTCCCCCTGCGGCTTCGCGCGGCTCAGCCCCTCGGCGGACGGAGGAGAGCGAGGGACGCGGGGGGCTCAGCTCCCCCGAGAGCCACGACGGGGACGAGAGAGCGCGCGCGGGCAGCGGCTGCAGCGCGAGCTGCATCGCAGAGGACATCGCGGCGGCGGCGGCCGCCGAGTTCTGCGACAGCGGTAAGACTGCCGGGAGCCGGCTGCCGTGACGGCGACGTGAGTGTGTCTGTGTGTATTTTACCGGGGAATGTGCGTACGTGTGTGGGGAGCGGTGGTGCAGCGGTTAGCGCGCTGCGCTACGAACCTGGCGACCAGAGTTCGATTCCTCACTCACGGCCAACATCAGTGATGATTATCGGAACCGGTCCTGGGCCTCCCCTAGGTCGACTCAGCCTCAAATGAGTAGCTGGTGCGGTGTGCAGTAAACATCGCCACTGGGGAGACAAAGGCGGCCAGGCGTGGTGCTGGCCACCCACCCCTCGTGTACCGTTCTGGCCTTCATAGGTGCTCGCGAACAGCACTTACCCCAACAGTCTGTTCAGGCTATACGGGGGATCTTTGTCTTTGTGTATGCCTGTGTGTCGGCCGGGCGTGGTTCTAGCCACGCCACAACATCCTTGCCCCAACAGTATGTCAAGGCTATACGGAGGGGTTCTTTGTTACTGTGTGCCTGCGTGTGTATATGCTGGCGTGTACATGTGTCAGTGTGAGTATAAATGTCTTCCTGTGTTCGTTCCTGTGTATGTGTATGGTGGGGTGTGCATGCACATGTGCGGCGATGGGTGTGAGTGTGTCAATGATTGTCGTGGAGTGTGCGTGCTTTAATGTAGGTGTATGGGTCCACAGGTGCTACTCGCTAACAGCACTTGCCCCAACAGTCTGTCAAGCCTATACGGGGGATCTTTGTGTTTGTGCGAGTGTGCGTGTTCACGGATGCGTGCCGGTGTGTGCGCACTTCAGTGCGCGTGAATGGGTGTTGTATGTTTAGCTTGCGTGTCTACGTGTGTCTTGTTGAACCTCTTTCGCACCGTACGTAGCCAACGGTGCTTTTAGAAGGTGCGGGGAAAGGACAACAAACTAAACACAAACAGCAGTTCGGAAGCAATGAGTACACTGTGCATGTATACGGGGAGTGCTAGCTAGGAACCCGACCACCTGAGTTCGATTCCCGCTCACGACCAATAACAGCCTGAAATGAATATATACAAATATATACAAATGCGTAAATGTGGGTTAAACAAAGTAGAATCGTCGACGCGGGTTATTCGGTCCCGATAATTCGTGCAATGGGTCGGTAGAATGAGTCGCGGGCGTTGGCTGAGACTTTCTAAATCTGTTCCGATTAAGATTTTCCGCTTCATTCAAAACGAAAACCGGAGTAGAGAGTGGCACAAACGCAGTCAGATCATCAATGACATTTACGCCACCTGGGTATCTGTATGTAAGTGTGTGTGTGTGTGAGTTTACGTGAATGACGATGTGTGTGTATGTGCACGCAAATTAAAATACCGTTCCTTTGCACTCCTATGGTGTTTTGTATTGTTTGGCGATTCCTCCAGTATAATACACATTCTGACAAGTACATGTATGTGTGTGCGTGTTTGAGTACCGTCCACTATGTGTGTACTGGCCGTGAGCGAGCGGGAATCGAACTCGAGCCGCCGGCTTCGTAGCGCAGTGCGCGAAGCACCACCACAGCGCTTCATAGGTGCTCGCTAAGGGCACTTACCCCAACAGTCTATAGAGGCCATACGGTGATCTGTGCATTTGTATGTGTGAGTATGTATATGAGGATATATGTATATGTTTATACGAATACGTGTGTCTATGAGCGTTGTGTGTGTGACGGCGGTAGTGTAGTGCTTAGCGCACTGCGTTACGAACCCGCTAACAGCACTTGCCCCAGCAGTCTGTGTAGGCTACACGGGGGTGTTTGTCTTTGTGTGAGTATCGCATTGTGCACTCGGAACGAGGCAACCTGATTCGACTCCTGCCCACGGCGAACATCAGTGGCGAGTGTGATCTGTCCTGATCCTGGACCCCCCCCCCCTAAGTCGGCTCATCCATAAATTAGTACTTCATGCGGTGTGTACAGAGCAGAATTAGGAGACAAAGGCGGTCGGGCGTGGCGCTATAACAACACTTTGTCCAACATTCGATGTATATATCGATTATATATAGGCTGTATATGGTGGGGTGGTCATGATCTCTTCTCACGTGAGTAATTGTGTTCGTGGGTATAAGTTATGTATGCGAGTACACATGTGTAAGTGTTTACGTATATTTACGAATGACAATATTTGTGCGTGTGTATTGCATCGGCATATATGCGTTTAAATAACGTGAGTAGATGCGTATATGGAGGGCAGTGGTTAGCGCATCGCGCTACGAACCCGGTGACACGAGTTCGATTCCCGCTCACGACCAATAACAGTGGCGTATATTTGAACAGCTCTTGAGCCTCCTCTAGGTCGACTCGGCCTTAAATTTGTGCCTGGTGCGGCGTTCAAACGTAAAAATTGAAAGTCGGGGGGGGGGGGGGGGGGGTGATGGCCACCCACCCCCTCGCGTGCCCTCCTGGCCTGTACAAGCGCTCGCTCACAACACTTGCCTCCAACCGTCTCCCGAGCCTATACGGGGGATCTTTGTCTTTGCATATTTGAGCGAGACCTACACCGCGGAAAACACTCACGGTCGCGTTAACGCTATTGCGGATCGCGTGGTTGACAGTCGGTAATGAGCGTAGGTCCCCTTGCAGTCATCTAGCATTACCAGCATTGTTCGAGCGAGACGTGCATTATTTATCCTTCAATTAGATCAATCACGTGGAAATTGCGTCTTTAAAAAAATACATCGTTGCGGAGGAGTTGGGTGGCGTCGGCGTCACGCTTGACGCGTCCGGCCAGCGCCTAAGTGGACTCGGGTGGAGGCCCCGCCGTCAAGTCGCCGTGGCGAGCGATGTCCCCGCTGCGGCAGTGTCCCCGCGGCGTTGTGTTCGGGCGCGTTGTTACTGCGCCGCCACGATCACCACTGGAGGCGCGACACTTTACTCAAGTCTGGCTCTTTGTAACAACGAGTGTCGCTGTCTGCAAAACACTCCCCTAATTACGACTCGTCTCTCCCTTGAGAGCACGAGCTCCTCTGTTAAGGCACAATGCTCTGGCTCCTCTACCAAGGATCAATGCACTGGCTCCTCTGTTAAAAGTCGTTGTCCCGGCTCCGCTGTGCGCGTCCCTGCAGAGCGACTCTGCGGCTCCATGGACGAGGACGACGACGCCGGCCCCGCCTCCGGGGACAGACTCAGCCCGGGCGCGGAGCCGCCGCTGGCTGAGGGGGCCGCCGTGGTGCTGGGGGGCAGCGCGGGCACGCGGCCCCCCGCGGATATGCCGCTGCTCACGCCGCAAGCGAAGCCGCGCAAGAAGCGCTCCCGCGCCGCCTTCTCGCACGCGCAGGTGTTCGAGTTGGAGCGGCGCTTCAACCAGCAGCGCTACCTGTCGGGCCCCGAGCGGGCCGACCTGGCCGCGGCGCTCAAGCTCACGGAGACGCAGGTGAAGATCTGGTTCCAGAACCGACGCTACAAGACCAAGCGGCGGCAGCTGGGCCTGGGGCCCGCGGGCGCGGCCGAGCTTCACGCCGGAGGAGGTGGTGGAGGTGGTGGAGGTGCCGGTGGAGGAGGCGGTAGCGCCAAGAAGGTGGCGGTGAAGGTGCTGGTGCGAGACGACCAGAGGCTGCAGCAGCAGCAGCACCACCAGCACCACCAGCACCACTACGGCGCGGCGGAGACTCTCGCCTTCCCGCCCTCGCTGGCGCTCTACCAGACTCTGCGTTACTTCCCCGCGCCGTACGCGCTGCAGCCCGCGTGGCCGGCCTCCCTTCTGCAGCCCGCGCTCTTGCGCCGTCAGCCGTCGCCGTGAAGCGCGACGCCGCCTCGGCGCAATCGCGGACACCTCCCGGTCACTGGCGTCGAAAGAAACAAAAAACATCGTGAGCGCTCGCGGGCGTGAGCCACCCTGAATCCCCGAGTCCTCCCCCCCCCCTTCCTCCCCGCACTGCTCAGAGCGGAGGTTTGTCGCGGTTGCTGATGGACGCTGGGACTCGGTGTTGAGATTCTGCTCGGAACGGCAGCCTCGCTCCAGGTGCGTGCTTCGTGTTCTGGTGTTGCGGGTAATGCGCTGACTCATCGCGTCTCCGGTGTCCTCAAATAAACAATTAAACGAGCGGACAATACGCCTCCTACCCATAGTCGTCCCACAACATCACGAAATAGAGCATCTCTCTTACGCATTCCTGAAGCCACGCGGCCCAGTGCTGGGCGGCGTGCATCATGTCACGGGGGTTCAATTGGAACAAACGCCGGGATCGACGTCGACATTTGGTGTCTCACCAGCAGTCAAACTTGCTTTAACCAATGCTGCTGAATTCAAAACAATGTCCAATCCTTAATCAACCTCGTGCTGGATGAAGGCCTCTCCCACCCCGCCTGCTGTGTCGGACACGGGTGGTTGTTTGACCATACTTCGCCACGCTGGTCAGTGTGCTTTTGTCTAGAACCGGCGCTGATATCGCTCACCGTGGACCAGAACCGGACTCAGGGGTGCAGGTTCACAGCGCAGCGCGCTATCTCCTGCACCGCCGCAAATACCGTTCGCTGAGATAACAAACAACGCTCTCCGGATATCCATGCAAACGGATACAGCACTGTATACACATACACGCATCTTTTTTTTTAAGTCTCCCGTCCAAGATCAGGGCAACACATAGACGCGTTGAGCGTGCACGCGGATGACGGTGAGACGGCTCAGGATCCCTGTCTGTCGGAAACCGACGAGGCGGCGAGCGCGATGGGGATGCGCAGCGGGGCTCGCGGACTCGGCAAACTCTCGCGGCGCTGCGGCCGCAGCGCGACCGCGCGTCTCACGCGCCGTGCTCTGTAGGACGCGGACTTCACCCGCGCTCGTGTGTACATATTTGATTCGTGCTTAAATCGAAAAGCACGTTATGGTATATATATAAAAAAACTGTAATATATACGTAATGTGTATAGGGCGCCGGTAGGAATAACGGCGAGGTTCCGAACATTTCCACATCGCGTCAGCCACGTCGCCGCGCTTTGCAGCAGTCTCGTTCTGTGCTGCAGCACGGGGGCTGTGTGTGGCCTGCATCAGTGTGTGGCCTGCATCAGTGTGTGGCCTGCATCAGTGTGTGGCCTGCATCAGTGTGTGGCCTGCATCAGTGTGTGGCCTGCATCAGTGTGTGGCCTGCATCAGTGTGTGGCCTGCATCAGTGTGTGGCCTGCATCAGTGTGTGGCCTGCATCAGTGTGTGGCCTGCATCGGTGAGTGGCCTGAATCAGTGAGTGGCCTGAATCAGTGAGTGGCCTGAATCAGTGAGTGATCTGTATCGATGATTGGCCTGAATCAGTGAGTGGCCTGAATCAGTGAGTGATCTGAATCGATGGTTGACCTGAATCGGTGATTGACCTGTATTGGTGATTGACCTGAATCGGTGATTGACCTGAATCGGTGATTGACCTGAATCGGTGATTGACCTGTATTGGTGATTGACCTGAATCGGTGATTGACCTGAATCGGTGATTGACCTGTATTGGTGATTGACCTGTATTGGTGATTGACCTGAATCGGTGATTGACCTGAATCGGTGATTGACCTGAATCGGTGATTGACCTGAATCGGTGATTGACCTGTATTGGTGATTGACCTGAATCGGTGATTGACCTGAATCGGTGATTGACCTGTATTGGTGATTGACCTGTATTGGTGATTGACCTGAATCGGTGATTGACCTGAATCGGTGATTGACCTGTATTGGTGATTGACCTGTATTGGTGATTGACCTGAATCGGTGATTGACCTGTATTGGTGATTGACCTGTATTGGTGATTGACCTGAATCGGTGATTGACCTGTATTGGTGATTGACCTGTATTGGTGATTGACCTGTATTGGTGATTGACCTGTATTGGTACGAGACGTCCACATCGACGTGGGCCGCATCGGTGCGGAATCTGCGTCGCGTGCGTTCATCTCCCTCTCTCCCCCCATCGCACCTCCCATTCCTCTTCCCCCGCGTGATCCTGACCCAAACGTTTGTTCCAACTCCGGGTTTCTTACTCTGTGTTGTTGTTGTTTTGTTACTGCCGCCCTCCGCAGGACGCGTCCCATTAAATTATTATTATTACCATGAACACGCGAGGCGATCCCCTCCCGTCGCGTGCGTCTGAGTTCTTGACCCCCCCCCCCGTCCCACCCGGACACAGCCCCGCCTGGTCACACGCCGGTCCACCCCGCCACGCGTACACGTCTTACGTATAATACCTGCTGCAGGAGGCAGCCGCCTGAAACGTCGGTAGTTCAGTGCGCTTTGCCATCGACGGAAAAATGTAATCTCGTTGTATTACTCGCTCTGATTCGGTGTAAAATGACAGGTTGGATGATTTAGCTCAAGAGCCAGTGCCAACGATATCTTACATACGATATCTTATATACGATATCTTATATACGATATCTTATATACGATATCTTATATACGATATCTTAAATACGATATTTTATACGCGGCGCGTCGCCAGTGGAATGCTAATTGGAGGTTGAACGCTGCCGGTTACCCGCAGCGTATTGGGCGATGGAGAGTTGATGGCACGCGCTGCGTGTATGGGAGTTGCTTCAGTCAGTGTGATAATTACTTCATGCGGGGTGCGTGAATGACTGCAGTCAGGGTTTGTGAATGACTACGGTCCGGGCGTGTGGATTATTGTAATCCGGGTTTCGTTCATGATTCCGCGTGTGTGTGCGAATGGCTGCAGCTAGGGCGAGTAAATGAATGCAGCCAGAGAAGGTCCTCGCAGTGGGGAACTAAACACGACAAAGCACGAGGAGGCGAGGCAATTCAACCCCAGATGCGTCTCGCTGTACGCACGCGCTCGCGGGTGAGTGTGGTAGTGTGTGTGTGAGTGAGTGTGTGAGTGTGTTAGTGTGTGAGTGTGTTAGTGTGAGTGTGGTAGTGTGTTAGTGTGTGAGTGTGTTAGTGTGAGTGTGGTAGTGTGTGTATGAGTGAGTGTGTGAGCGTGTGAGTGAGTGTGTGAGTGTGTTAGTGTGTGAGTGTGTTAGTGTGAGTGTGTTAGTGTGTGAGTGAGTGTGTGAGCGTGTGAGTGAGTGTGTGAGTGTGTTAGTGTGTGAGTGTGTTAGTGTGGGTGTGTTAGTGTGTGTGTGTGTGTGTGCGAGTGTGTGAGTGAGTGTGTGAGCGTGTGAGTGAGTGAGTGTGTGAGTGTGTGAGTGTGTTAGTGTGAGTGTGTTAGTGTGTGAGTGTGTTAGTGTGGGAGTGGGAGTATTTGAGTGTGTCAGTGTGTGTGAGTGTGTTAGTGTGTGAGTGAGTGTGTCAGTGTGTGTGAGTGTGTCAGTGTGTGTGAGTGTGTCAGTGTGTGTGAGTGTGTCAGTGTGTGTGAGTGTGTTAGTGTGGGAGTGTGTCAGTGTGTGTGAGTGTGTCAGTGTGTGAGTGTGTCAGTGTGTGAGTGTGTCAGTGTGTGTGAGTGTGTCAGTGTGTGTGAGTGTGTCAGTGTGTGTGAGTGTGTCAGTGTGTGTGAGTGTGTAGTGTGTGTGAGTGTGTCAGTGTGTGTGAGTGTGTCAGTGTGTGAGTGTGTCAGTGTGTGTGAGTGTGTCAGTGTGTGTGAGTGTGTCAGTGTGTGTGAGTGTGTCAGTGTGTGTGAGTGTGTCAGTGTGTGTGAGTGTGTCAGTGTGTGTGAGTGTGTCAGTGTGTGTGAGTGTGTCAGTGTGTGTGAGTGTGTCAGTGTGTGTGAGTGTGTCAGTGTGTGTGAGTGTGTCAGTGTGTGTGAGTGTGTCAGTGTGTGTGAGTGTGTCAGTGTGTGTGAGTGTGTCAGTGTGTGTGAGTGTGTCAGTGTGTGTGAGTGTGTCAGTGTGTGTGAGTGTGTCAGTGTGTGTGAGTGTGTCAGTGTGTGTGAGTGTGTCAGTGTGTGTGAGTGTGTCAGTGTGTGTGAGTGTGTCAGTGTGTGTGAGTGTGTCAGTGTGTGTGAGTGTGTCAGTGTGTGTGAGTGTGTCAGTGTGTGTGAGTGTGTCAGTGTGTGTGAGTGTGTCAGTGTGTGTGAGTGTGTCAGTGTGTGTGAGTGTGTCAGTGTGTGTGAGTGTGTCAGTGTGTGTGAGTGTGTCAGTGTGTGTGAGTGTGTCAGTGTGTGTGAGTGTGTCAGTGGTGTGTGAGTGTGTCAGTGTGTGTGAGTGTGTCAGTGTGTGTGAGTGTGTCAGTGTGTGTGAGTGTTGTCAGTGTGTGTGAGTGTGTCAGTGTGTGTGAGTGTGTCAGTGTGTGTGAGTGTGTCAGTGTGTGTGAGTGTGTCAGTGTGTGTGAGTGTGTCAGTGTGTGTGAGTGTGTCAGTGTGTGTGAGTGTGTCAGTGTGTGTGAGTGTGTCAGTGTGGTGTGAGTGTGTCAGTGTGTGTGAGTGTGTCAGTGTGTGTGAGTGTGTCAGTGTGTGTGAGTGTGTCAGTGTGTGTGAGTGTGTCAGTGTGTGTGAGTGTGTCAGTGTGTGTGAGTGTGTCAGTGTGTGTGAGTGTGTCAGTGTGTGTGAGTGTGTCAGTGTGTGTGAGTGTGTCAGTGTGTGTGAGTGTGTCAGTGTGTGTGAGTGTGTCAGTGTGTGTGAGTGTGTCAGTGTGTGTGAGTGTGTCAGTGTGTGTGAGTGTGTCAGTGTGTGTGAGTGTGTCAGTGTGTGTGAGTGTGTCAGTGTGTGTGAGTGTGTCAGTGTGTGTGAGTGTGTCAGTGTGTGTGAGTGTGTCAGTGTGTGTGAGTGTGTCAGTGTGTGTGAGTGTGTCAGTGTGTGTGAGTGTGTCAGTGTGTGTGAGTGTGTCAGTGTGTGTGAGTGTGTCAGTGTGTGTGAGTGTGTCAGTGTGTGTGAGTGTGTCAGTGTGTGTGAGTGTGTCAGTGTGTGTGAGTGTGTCAGTGTGTGTGAGTGTGTCAGTGTGTGTGAGTGTGTCAGTGTGTGTGAGTGTGTCAGTGTGTGTGAGTGTGTCAGTGTGTGTGAGTGTGTCAGTGTGTGTGAGTGTGTCAGTGTGTGTGAGTGTGTCAGTGTGTGTGAGTGTGTCAGTGTGTGTGAGTGTGTCAGTGTGTGTGAGTGTGTCAGTGTGTGTGAGTGTGTCAGTGTGTGTGAGTGTGTCAGTGTGTGTGAGTGTGTCAGTGTGTGTGAGTGTGTCAGTGTGTGTGAGTGTGTCTCTGGTTATTCACGGAATTAGTAACGACCCTCTTCCCAGCGCTCGGAGATTGGTCGATGAAAGGGACTTTCGGGAGCCATGCCGAAGGCCGTAAATCCCAGCTCGGCGTGATTGTATTCCTCCCGCACGTGGGACTCATTAAATCCGAGTGTACACACTTCATGAATTAGCGCTGCCTAATGTCCGCATGGCACCGCGCGACTTCCCCGGTAAACCAAGGCTCGCCCCCCCCCACCTCAACCAAGGCTCGCCCCCCACCTCAACCAAGGCTCGCCCCCCCCCACCTCAACCAAGGCTCGCCCCCCCCCCACCTCAACCAAGGGGAAGACCCTGGAGGTCGCTGCAGCGCGTCGCCTGATCTGGCGGAGGGGAGCAGATGCTGGCGAGGTGTGGCGGTGGTCGTGGTGGTGTTGGCGAGGTCTGGCCGTGCGTTGTGGTGGTGGTGGTGGTGGTGTTGGCGAGGTCTAGCCGTGCGTTGTGGTGGTGTTGGCGAAGTCTGGCCGTGCGTTGTGGTGGTGGTGGTGTTGGCGAGGTCTGGCCGTGCGTTGTGGTGGTGGTGTTGGCGAGGTCTAGCCGTGCGTTGTGGTGGTGGTGGTGGTGGTGTTGGCGAAGTCTGGCCGTGCGTTGTGGTGGTGTTGGCGAGGTCTAGCCGTGCGTTGTGGTGGTGGTGGTGGTGGTGTTGGCGAAGTCTGGCCGTGCGTTGTGGTGGTGTTGGCGAGGTCTGGCCGTGCGTTGTGGTGGTGGTGGTGTTGGCGAGGTCTAGCCGTGCGTTGTGGTGGTGTTGGCGAGGTCTAGCCGTGCGTTGTGGTGGTGGTGGTGGTCGTGGTGGTGTTGGCGAGGTCTGGCCGTGCGTTGTGGTGGTGGTGGTGGTCGTGGTGGTGTTGGCGAGGTCTGGCCGTGCGTTGTGGAGTAGGTGGTGGTGGTCGTGGTGGTGTTGGCGAAGTCTGGCCGTGCGTTGTGGTGGTG